TTCTTTTAAATTAAAATAATCTTAAAAAAAAAATAGACTTAAGGCATACAAATTAATGTACGTATATTGGTTTTAAGAAACGCTCATTTTGCTCTTCTTAATGCGTTAATCTCTCCGCTTATACTTGAATTTGCTTTGATTGGTTGATTGAGTCAGATAAAGTGTTAAGTATAGATGAAGAGTCTTAATGAATCTCTCAATAAATTAACTAAAGAGCCTGTTCTAAGCTCAAATTGAATTGCTCTAAGTGAATTGCTCAGTCTGTTAGACCCGTTTTCTATTGAGGCCCAATTGTATATAGATTCATTCATCTTTTAATTGATAGATCTCGTTCGGGTTGTCAATCACAGCATATTGCTCAACATATTGGCTGCACTTTCTGATATTCGCATAGAATTTGTTTTGTATAGCGCTTGGCCCACTGCCTGAACGTTGTTTCCCCTACACTAAATGCGGCACATTGATTTTCGCAGTGTATCTGGTTTGTCGCTGGGGGCCCGTTTGTGGGGCTGTGAGCTGTTTGCTTGCATAGATACAGATACACGCACACAGCAACAGCAACGATTCATGCACACACACACACACTCATACACAGACACAGTTACAGATACAACGCAGTCGCCGCTGCTGTTGTTGCGCCCCTCTTCACCGCCCGCTCTGCCCCTGGCTCTGACTCTGGCCTCTGCCGCTGCCTATTTCGCTCGTTTGCTCGTTGGCTCGTTCGTTGCGGGCCTCTGCTACTACTGGCTGTACGCTGACTGCGGCTGTCTGTGGGCTCACTAGAGCGAGATACTCGTACTGTAGCCAGAGCTATAGCCATACAAGCGAAATGCTTCAAACTGGTCGAAATTCATGCTGCGCTACATCCAATCAGCTTTTTTGGTTTTCACATGCAATTTATGGTATTGATAATTGATTGTACAAGTTCTTATATTAGACCTGAGAATTGAGCTTCACAATAACCTAAAGTTCATCTATATCTTATATGTATTGAAAGTACGAACTAAAATTTCATTTATATCTTTAATTGAAAGTACAAATTTGATATATGTATGTATTTCAATATCAAATTATTTTAAAAATTTATCAAATTTATACTATAGTTATATTTATGAAAAATATATATATTAGCCTTTAAAGAGTAATAGAATAAAATATTCTTTTATATTAAAATAAATAATTCTTTTAGCTTCGATTTACAGAAATATTATATGTTCAAGTAGTATATCTCATTCTTTTTAGGTAGATAATGGAATTATGATCTATAGAAACAGTAGAAACAGTAAATTTTATTTTTTAAATTCAGTCTTTCATGTTTTTTAATAAGTTTGACAGTATTAGCATAATGCTAATATACCTTAATATATAAATATAAGATTTAATACTTTA